TTTTTTTCTCCTTTTTGCGCCAAAACAGCACCCAGCCCAGTTCCGGATGCATCGGTGTACAAGTAAAACATATCATTAAAATCGGGGTATTTAAGAACGGGCGCCGTAGTCAGGTAACTTTTTAACGCCTCAAATGATTTTTGCTGCTCTTGTCCCCAGTCAAAACTAACACCTTTTTGCAGTAAATGGTGTAGAGGCCTTGCTAATGTGGCGAACCCGGGTATGAACCTTCTGTAGTATGACGCAAGGCCGATGAACCCCCTTAACTGGCATAGTGTACCTGGTATTGGATAATTTCTTACTTTTTCCACTTTACTTTCGTCAGGTTGTATCCCTTGCCTTCCAATTATGTGTCTGAGGAAATGGATGGTGGGTTTAAAGAAATCGTATTTCTCAATGTTGATTTTTAATTTCGCTTCGGCCAACTTATCAAATACTTTCTTTAGATGCCCCAAATGTTCGTTAAACGTTCTTGAATATACATTAATATCGTCGATATACACGACCACGAACTTCCCAATATAATCCTCCAAGACACGGTCCATTAGGCACTGGAAGGTGGCTGGCGCGTTCGACAAGCCAAATGGTATAACATTAAACTCGTACAATCCACTCCGCATTATAAAGGCCGTCTTCTCCTTGTCTTCTTCTTCGACTCTCACTTGCCAGTATCCACTCTTTAGGTCTAAACTAGTGAACCAACTTGCAGTACTAAAGATCTCCAATAGGTCATCTATTCTTGGTAGTGGGTATGCGTCCTGTCTCGTAACCTCATTTAACTTCCTATAATCTATACAAAGGCGTAGCTTCCTACCTTTCTTTGGGACCACGACTATGGGCAAAGCCCACGGGCTACTGGACTTCCGAATCAAACCCCTTTCTTCCATTTCTTTTAGTTCCTTTTCTATAAACTCGTGTTCGTTCGGCGCTGCTCTGTAGGCTCTTTGCTTTATCGGTTTGGCCTCGCAGGTATCGATCCGGTGACTTGTTACGGTGGTTTTCCCGAGACCCTGCATATTATTGGTAAATATGTTTCTTTCTTTCTGAAAAAATGTTTCTGCCTTTTCCTTTTTTTCTTTGTCTAGGGCGTCGTTTTGTAGGAACTTTTCTATCTGTTCTTCTATCGTAGGGTTTGCTTCTGTATCTTCCTTAGTCGGTACTTCTTCTATATTCGTCAGGTATATTGCTGGGCTCGTTACTTCTTCCCAGGGGTTATAAAACAACCCATTGTCTTCTTCGCTAGTTTCTTCGGTATAATAACCTTCCGTTTCTACCAATTCTTCATCTTCGTAGGTATATTCGCCAAACTCATCTCCGCTGTCACTGTCAGGTTGATCTTTTTCTTCTGGTATCTCTAATTTTTTTGCTCCACTATTAGAAATGGGCACCTCGATTCTTCTGCTGTTATACTTGAGGAGCAACTTTTGTTTATCAAAGTGAATCCGCGCCTGTGCTCTATGGAACCAATCATTACCGAGTAATAACGTCTCGTCCGCAGATTCAATTACTTGGAAGGTGCTAGGTAAGAGTATATCTTGGATAGCTAGCTTTACGTCTTCAATTTGGCCTAATGCACGCGTTCTGGTTCCGGTAGTGGTAATTACCACTGTTGACGAAGGTTTGTCTATTTTCGACTTTAACCTGTCTATGAGTTTCTTCATAATTATGCTCACAGCTGTGCCTGAGTCCAACACTGCTCGGATAGGGTTCCCTTTGATCCTGACATAACAATGGGCAGCCGTGGTTCTAAGGTTATCACTAAAGTTTACTACGTGAGTTTCCTGGGCTCCCTGGGCCGTTTGGGTTTCCTGGAGTTTTCGAGCTACAAGGGGTCGGTGTAAGGCTTGAGCCAGGTTCCTTCATTGGTTCGGGTAATGCAGCATCTGCCCTATCGTGGCTTTAACTGGTAAAGATAATATATCATTTACTACATTATATGGGGTCAATTTATCTATCACTGAAGGCTCCCGTTTTCGTCTTATTTTCTTGACTGTTCGTGCCTCTTCTAACTCCATAGGCTGTAACGGGTCTCCAACGTCTACTAAAAGCGGTTCGTTTTCTGCCCTGGGCCGAAGTCTATTATCCCACTTCAATTCTGGTTGTACTTTAGGTCTTTTTTCGGGGATGTCCGGTTGTACTTGTTGCTTTCTTTTATCCGCCGCGTATAACTCATTTTCGCAGTAGTTTACTCTACTAACGTTTTTTGTAGGTGGTCTTTCTACTTCACTATGTTCCTTAGGTCTCTTTTCCGACATACAAAAGCGAGCTATGTGTCCTTTTTCGCCACATCTATAACAAATGATTTCTTTCCTGGGCTTAGGGTTCTCTCTATATTTTTCTCTTTCACGTGTATCCTTTTCTTGCTAGTTATTTGCTGCGACATAGTTAACTGATAGTTGCTGCACTTGCTTGACTAATGCTTCAATTATTTCATCCTTTTTATCAGAGATTACTG